CTGCAAAAGAACAGTGAGACAGTTTGTGAACAGTTAGTAGATTGCCTCTCAAAAAGGTACATACTTTTTGCTTTAAAGCCACTGAAATTTAGCAGGATTGTATTATGTGGGTAAAATGCTTGCATTTGCTTTCTTTTGCAACCAGCACCTTGATTTAAGAGCACCTGTGCAAGGAGAGATTGACCTGAATAGCCTAAATTTGCGTTTTTCTTCCAGCGATGTACGCTTGCCTCCAAAGCTGCTACATTTACAGGGCAGGACAAGTAAATGAACCTACTGGCTCATTTCACACAACACAAGAAGCCTAACTAACCTGCTAAATAACCCTAAGTTTACGCTAGTTTGCCTTTTGCCTTTGCTGCAGCCTCATGACAGTGAATGTAAATGTTACAAGGTTTGTTTTACCGCATGCCGTGCACGGACATCACAAAAACAGTCAATACCAGACTCTAGCTATGTATTTGCAGTGCACTGCCCAGTGTTATTAGCCAAAAGAGCATCATCAAATTAAAGACAAGCATGTTGATTTCACACACACTGGCATTTAAACAGGGTAGCGACGTTAAGCAAAACAACCAAGAGCGAAATTCCTCTCTTATACAACAGAGAATCTCCTGACTGGTGCATTTATTTTGACTGCACTGAGAAGTCAAACTTAGAGGAAAACGCATTTTGTATAGTTCGTAGGCGTGCTGTGACTGTGCCGTCAGGGCTGTATTAAAATGCAGTGGAAAGCAGCCTGCACACTCACACAGCTAGTGATGTGCATTCCTGCTCTTTTCAGTGAGTCAGATCAATTAGCTCAGTTCACCCATAAAAGGCGACTCTTTCGGCTCCAAAACGGCTCTTCGTTCAGTAGCACTGACAGTTTTTTTTAAATACTAAAATTAGCCATTTCAGCAACGTTGTCTCCTCTTTAAAATTAGATAAGTGTAAGGCTTTGTTCACACAGCAGGTTAAAATGGCCCAAATCTGATCTTTTTCTTCATATGTGACACAAACTTGTTATCTGTAGGTCAGTGTGAACAGCAAAATACGGAATCTGACACTTTCCATTCCGATTTCAGACGCTTTCATATGTGATACTGAAATCCAATAAGTATCAGAACAGCCAGATCGGAATTCATGCGACTTTTACATCAATCCAACTCGATATTCATCACACTCTCGCGCTGCTGAGAAACATTTAGGTTGATTTTTCTGTACAAAAGACTAAAAGAGACGTTTCCAAAACTGCTCCACGTTTGAAGAGATTTCGGACGAAATGGCCGAACCAGGGCCGTAGGAGAACGAGGCTGCAGCGTCAAAGAAGAGTTAAAAGTCTGAAAGCAAAGTTTAAAGAATCCGAGGACACAAACCAAAGAAGTGACCGCGCCCTTTTTATGGCAAGATCGGACACATTCTGGGTGATGAGCCCAGCTGTCAGTCAATGAAGCCTTAAGATGGCTCCTGTGATGCTGGCGAAGGTGAAACTGAACCCTCCGAGGAGCGACTGGTGTTCGTTGGCAGTCGTGACTGTTTACCTCTGGACGAGCCACGTGAAGCAACGTGAAGCTCTGTTCTTTTGCGCACGTGGGTCAGTTTAGGAGCTGATCTGTTCAGACTGACGTTGCATACAGGTCACATTTAAAAGATGTTGTGAACAGCCACACAAAAAAAATTGGATTTGGTGAGAAAATCAGATTTGTCCACATCTACCTGCTGTGTGAACGTAGCTTAGTTTGGATTCTAGTTAACGAGATACTGCACTATATTTTAAAACACAAATTCAAATGTGAAATCATCAAGACATTACAGTAGGAAAGGGATGTCCTGCAAACAGGCTTGCAGACCAAACTTGTAAGAACTGCTGGTACAAAAATGAATTAGATAAAAGACAGAAACATAAAAGAATCTGCAAGAAAAGAGCATAATAAGTACTGAATGCCTAAAAAAATTATAGTTCCTACTATTGTTCAAATAATCCTTGAAGAATGTAGGAAAAGTCTGAGCGCTGAATTAAATATCCTCTCTGACTGATAAAAAGAGGGAATAAAGAAAATATATAGAAAGTTTGTGCTCATAGATTTTTCATTGTACTCCTGTTTTTCCAAATCAGGAGCATCAAAGCTCTTCGGCAAAAAGCTTAGCTTTACAGTTAAACCCTGTTTATACTTTGCAAATCTCTAAATATCAGTTATTTAAATGATGCTATAGCAATTCTGTAATTAAATACGGTTTTGCAAATAAAGCTTACAAAACTGACAGACTGAGACAGGCCAAGAGAGAAAGAGAGCGAGAGAAGGAGTCCATTGCAAGCTGTGATTCAGCTGGACTGAGACAGGGAACCTGCCAGTTCTCTATTACACACAAATGAGCGCAGTGAGAACACTCACCCTCTCGAAAAACTTTCATGCCAAGGTACATGCCTCTGCAAAGCGAAGGCGCTTTTTTGTGGCATTTCAGACGGCTTCACAAATTGGACGTGTTGAGGTCATTCGGCCACATTCATTACTCTCCCAACCGTAACGACATGGATCCCTGCCAGACCAATAACCCGCAGAACACTGTGAACCGGCCTGACCCAGGCTTATCCCCCAAGAAGGATTCTGACAACTCCAGAATAAAAAATAACAATAAATAAAACAGGAAATAAGGAACGTGTCAGCGGAGGACTTTCCGGCCATCAATAAAAATGGCCGGGCGATGATTCGTCTCAAAGACATTTTATTACAGCAGCAGTCACTGCCGCCACAGCGCTGCTGCTGCAGAGCGCAAAACACGTTTGCATGTTGAAACTCCATCACCTGCAAATCCTGTCCGATTCATTCTGCCTTCAAAAGCAGAGGCTCGTAGGGGTATTGCAAAAGGAGCCAAGCCGAGCACAGTTTAACCTTTGATCAGAGTTGCCCTGGTAAGTTTTAATCTCGCTTTGAAGTTGAAAAAAAAGAACCTCAGCAACCTCAGCATCACCAAAGTACTATGAAGAGGAGAAATGGTTCCTTACAGAGTCTAGAGTGAAAATGTCTCATGCATGCAGGGAGTCGAAGCGCAGTGAAAAGAGAGACAGCCAAAAGTCACCCATATTTACTGGTAAGTACTGGTTACTGCATATTGAATTAGCACCAGACCCACCGACAACAGCCACCTGTGCTAAATACAGGTGCTTTACATGCAATACAGGCCAACAGTACGGAAGCAACACTAACTAGGGATCAGAGAAGGGCCACATGCTGACCGACTCACGACTCGACTAAGAATCGTCCTTAATTGACTCAACTTGAAATTTCAGCCTAAGGAAAAAACACAAATAAAACTGATTGAATATGGACCGGCAGCTGGAGAGCTGGACTGGAATGGGGATGAAATTATTATATAAATATCCTTTACTAAAGAACCGCTGACTTGTGAACATCTCTGCTCGGAATCAGAATTGGCCAAGATCTAAGTTGGTAAATTTTTGCTCCAAACATGCATCAATCAGCCAATTTATTACGATTTTTTTATTAGATTTATTATTTATTAGATCTAAGGCAGATCTGTGTTGTAATCTAATGAGGTAAATGGAGTGAGGAAGGTAAGTGGGTAAGACTTTATTACAACAGGCCCTATAAATAGAAACTTAACATTTAACTTATATATTAAAAATTGTTACTTGTGCTTTAACAAGTGCCACAATTTAAATCATTACACAGAAATTTAAACACTGTAAATGCTTTTCATAAATGTATAATATTTAAGTGTAATAAGCAAAACAATATCTTTACAAATGCATTAAAAGAAATCACAGCTTAAAAATAGCGGTCAGATTAATGATTATTATTATTATTATTATTTTAACCACTCAATAATGATTATTTGAAGATTAATTATTAAACCTTAAGCATCACAAAGTAGCTAGATAAATATCACAATTTACAAATGTGCACAATTTAAAACAGGGCAAAGAAAAGTATTTAAAGTTTTATGGTACCAAATAACATTATTATTACTCAACTATACTTAATGATGTTTCTACAAATAATGACAGATTATTTGTATGTCACTAAGTAAATAGTTAAAAATTAAAATTGATACTGGTTTATTAATGCATATGTAACTACTATATAGTTATTAAGTCATTAAGAGTCCACTAGACAATGATTATTTTGCTGTTTATTACAACGTGTTATAAAAAGTGTTACAATCTTGCTGTATTTTATAAAAACAATGTTTTAGTTTATTTTAACAGCATATTGCATACCGGTGGCTGCTCAAAGTGCTTTACAGTGATTAAAGCTTTAGAGTAATAGAAGAAATTATGAACATTTTGATTGCTGCAGCTACACCTGTACCAAAATGTTATTCAATTATTATTCAGGACTAATTGTGCTAAACAGCCAGCTGACAATTTCAATGTGGAATTTTATTTGTTTCATGTTATTTAAATAGGCAGCTGAATCTAAAAGGTTTAAAAAAGGCTAATAAAAAAATCTTCAGCTAATTTGGCTGTAAAGACATCAGAATCCTTGATCCTTAGCGCCAACAATAAGCATGAGAATTTTACTTTTTCTAAAAATAATAAATAGTAATATGTTTATTTGCACAGAACAAAAATGGTTTGATAAAATGCCTGCAGCAACTAACTGACTGCTAATGAGTTTAGCCTCCACCTGATTCTCCCATTCAAACGCTCCTGAAGATGTGATAAGCTCTAAGACGAATTAAAAAACAGTCGGTGTAAAAGCCTTATCAGTGGAGTGCGAAGGCTCAGGACAAACTACTGGAATAATCTGGAAAAGCTCATTTGTTTAAACTATGTCAGTCAATGTGTTATGTTTGCTGTTGGCAAACTGACCGCCCTGCAAAACCGTTTAAAACTTCTTAAAAATCCCTGCTCGCTTCCACTCTTCCAGTTTTCCGCCAGCTGTGTCTTTCTGAAAGAGAAGAAGTGCTTTCATTTCCAGCTTGGCTCTGCCTGCATCATACCGTTGCCACCTGAGGCTCTCGTCAGCAGGCCCTTATGACTGACGACCCTGCAA